ACCCTGCTCCCCCAACTCAGTGCAGGATCACAGGATACTTTAGCTCTTACATTAGCAACAGCTTGCTTTGCCACGTGGGAATATTATGATAAGGGCTACACTTACTCGCTTCTCTAAGATCTCCGGATCCGTGATCTTGGTGTTCGTCATATGTACCTGACTACCGCTGTAGCCATTCCAGCCGGGACCGGCTCCAACGCCACCAGCAATAGTCTCGCCGTAGCCGAACCCGGGAATGAACTTGCCTGTTGACTTGTCGTATCCACCGCTTCCAAACGACAAGATGTTCATGCACCCGTGACTGGCGCCGGATGCCTGGAAGGCTTTGAACACTACGTCTGTAATCCGTTGAGACGTGCAACCGTTACCTGCACACACGGCAGCATTCGCAGATGGATTCAGCAATGTACCTTCGGGCACAATCACAGTTACAGGTTCAAGGCAACCTGTGAAGATTCGTTTATCAGCAAATGCCTAAAGAAGAGTGACATATGTGTTGTTTCAATTTTACCTTCGTTCAAGGGAATATCCGTGCCAATCAGACAGCGCAGACAGTAGAGAATTGCTGAATATGTGATAGCAATTGGGGCGTTCAGACAGTTGAACGCTTCCAGACCCGTGCCGGTGAAATCAAACACAGCTGTGCCCTCCTCACCGTCGATTGTTATGGATAGGGCAATTGGACTGCCGTCATCCATGTAGTCTACAGCAGTGAGAGGCATCTGGCCTGCATATTTCTTTGCCGTGGCTCGCAGCAAGTCGCGTACGGCAGCTGCGGCAGTGGTCTTCACAGCTCTCATGTAGAATAGCACCGTATCTCGGTCATACTCTTCGAATAGGCCGTGAATAAGGTTGATACCCTTTTGGTTTGCCGCAATTTGTGCCTTTAGATCAGCGATATTGTCGTGAATCCGCCGTGACGGACTACATCCGGGATATGATCCTGGAACATCAAGAAAGTGGTGCGTGACGCCTGCATCGTCAAAGTGGCCTTTAGACACAATTTTCCACTGCTCGAACGCGGCACCCTCCTGATAGAGCTCGACGGAGTCTGATGGCATCGAGCCTGGCGCGATACCGCCGATCTCAGCGTGATGTGCACGAGCAGCCACAAAGAAGTCAATGTATGTGTTGGTCTTATCGAACACTGGAGAGATTAGCGTGATGTCCGGTAGATGCGTTCCGCCCGCAATAGGGTGATTGGTAGCCAAAATGTCGCCCGGATGCAGGTCATCCCGCCAACGGTCCATCGCAATCCTGACGGCTCGTGACATGCTGCCTAGATGAACTGGAACATGGGGTGCGTTGGCCGTCAGCGCGCCGTTGCCATCGAATAGCGCGCATGAGAAGTCTAGCCGCTCCTTGACATTGGTGCTGATGGCAATCTTTTGCAGGGTGCGTCCCATGTCCTCGGCAATGCTCATGAAACGGTTGCCGAACACAGCCAACTGAATGGGGTCTACTCGCTTAGAGTCGACGGACTTTTTGTTGTTAAGTACGAGGTCGATGACTATGTGTCGCGCCAGAACGGTTGCCTTGGAGGAGGGAGCAACTAGAATGGTTTGTGTGCTGTCAATTATCAAAGCTGGCCCCTCAACGATAGATCCAGGGGTAAGGTCACCCAAGAACAAGCTTGGCACTGAATGCCAACCACCCTCAAAGTAGACTTGTCTAAACTGAGTATTGTCGTTATGCACAACTTGCCTCTTTTCCAGTGTCTGCAAGTCTGTGAAGAAAGACCGTTCATCAACACGGTGACCAGATCCGCTTGCGCGCACTCTAACGTCGTCGACAATGACTTTTCTCGTCTCGTTGATGAAGCTGAATTCTCGCATGTGGGTTTTCGTGAAGTTTGATATATAGCCACCTTCATCGCCAGTCTCAGCAATCATGAGCTGACTGTCCGACCCCTGGTAGCGCATGTTGAGGAAGCGTTCGATCTTCACTGCGTCTTCGGCAATCCCCTGCTCCGCTAGCGCGTCACGAGCTTGCTTCTCCAGAGCATCCAGACGCTCTGTGAAAAAGTCTGCAGTAGACTCCTCGTACGCCTTTGATGCGGGCTCTTGCCGCTCTTCGACGACGTCCGCCAAAGCCATACCGTAGGCTGAGAGAATCGAAGAGTACTGATGAATAATCACTCTGGATATCCCTAGAGATTGTGCAATATCGCAAGCATGTTCTAGAGTCTCTGGTTAGCATTTCAACATACGCACGTAATAATTGAGACTTACGGCCACCAGCACCACCAAAGCTAGCAAGGTTATGGGCGGAAGCATCGAATCCACGAGCCTCCGTCAGCGCTCGAATGGGCTTAGACATGTTCACATTAGCAACTTGGAGAAAGCCAAGCGCAACCTCCTCCACCGTCATCTCGGGTCGGCTGCCCGCGATCGACTCATTGATGGTCTTTGTCAACTCAGCGAACTTCTTGCGGGTGATATCTACACCAAGTGCCTCATCTTCGTTCGGGCCAAAGATCTTGGGGAACGTTTCTGGCAACAGCCGACCAAGCAGAAGATTGGCATCAGTGACGGTTAAAGGACCACCCTTTCTGTAACAAGCCGGGCCCGGATGCGCACTAGCTGATTCGGGTCCAACGACAAATACGCCATTCCGGAAGAAGAGAATTGATCCACCGCCCGCGGCAACAGTGTTCACATCCAATTGCGGGCAACTTATGTGCACGCCAGCAGTAACCGAGTTGGTAATATGCTCGTAGGTGCCCCCAAATCGTGAAACATCCGTTGAAGTGCCACCCTACGAAGCAGGAGATAGTATGTTAGTCGAGAAGCAAACCCTAGAGATCGTTGCAGTTGCCTCACCATATCGAACCCGATGACTGGTTTCGGGTCTTTCTCGTCGAAGCTAGTGCGAGCATAGCCGACAACACCGCCAGCGGGCCCCGAAAGAATAGCACGAAGGCCACTGAATTTCCGGTAGTCTACGAGTCCGCCATCAGACTGCATAAATTCGATCCTCGTGTGGCTATCTGAGCCTTCCTTGAATCCTTTCATGAAGCCGTCCAGATACCTTTTCGTCTCAGGCGTGAGATATGCATCTGCTGTAGTGGAGTGCCCGCGGTGAACCAGCTTAATCACGGGCAAGAGATCATGGGACAACGAGATGCTAGTGAAGCCAATAGTTGCCGCGATATCTCCAATCTGGCGTTCGTGTTCTGAAACGAGTGTTAACTACGACCAACCAGGAGGAACAAGACTGATCGTCACCTTGAAAGTTATAACCATGGATCAAGCATACTGCCAGGCTCCTAAAGCCTTCAACATAAAGGGCCTCAAGTTGTGAGGTTACGGAAGCTTTATCTACGTATCTGTGAGCAAATCCTCGTACTTAGCAGGTTTGATAAAATCACTCACCCAACGGCTTTAGTACTCGGACGACCTCTCCTGTCACTCCCAGCTTGACGTCGGCGCCGTTCACAAGTTCGGCAAAGTCCCGCTCCTGGGGATCTTCCGTGTAGGCTTCAAGCGTAACACGCTCATCTACCTCAACCACCTTTTCATACAGTTCACCTGGTTTTCTTACATTAAGGTCGAACAAATTTGGCCTTGACTGATCGCCAATGACCATCAAGTCGCCAAATCCTTTCGTGATCAGCAGGGCACATTTCGAACCTTTCCTTTCCAGTAATGCATTTGTAGCAACAGTTGTGCCCATGCGAATTGATGCAACCTCAGACGTATCCAGTGGCTCCCCGCGAGGTATCTCCGATCCCCTGACCGTAGAGAGAACTCGTCTAATGCCTTCAATGGTGGCATCTGGATAGTGGGCAGGGTCAACAGACAACAATTTGAAATACAGGTCCGGTTTCCCCGGAATGATGGCGAGCACATCAGTGAATGTGCCACCGCGATCTGCTCGAGGTTAGATATCGCATAGCTTTGGCCGTAGATAGCGGTACACACCGATAGCGATCGTTATTCCAGACCCTTTGGACTTCATCTTTGTCTGATTGAATTGGTCTTCTCAACGATGTGATCGGAGTCAATCATACGAGAATCAAGCCACTTCCAGGGGTTAATGAACTGAAGATATACATCTATCAATGTGTGGACATGACCCGGATCTGCAAGTCTGGCTTGCACGAATGAAATGCTCGCTATACCATTTATGAGAGCGCGCTACTGGCAATGCTGAAGTGTGCAGCAGACCGGGCGCTCCAACAGCGGCGAACTGAATGACGGATTCTTAGCGTAGGCTTCATCCGAGGGCCGGCGCATCAACTTGCACTTTGTATTGAACAGCGCTGGTCGGAATCCCCGCATTTCTAGGTAAGCCCCACGGCTCTCTATCTAGTGTAGATAGGCGATGGTTACCGAGTTTTGTGCCTCAGGGAAAGTGCTGGGGAGCAACTCGGCCAAGGGGGCGGCGAGTCATTTGCCGCAAAGCTCCACCCAGACATCTGGTTCGCTAGTCGCTTTCCTGCTGGCGGATCAACTTTCCTGACAAAATTGACGAGGCTAGTGGACGCCTCCAATGATATTGCACTAGTCCTATCATCCCAAATCTCGAAATTCCCCAGATTACAGTTTGTCATCGCATGGGGTATCTATTCCTTCCTTGTAGGCATGGAAGTAGGTCCATACGTCGGTCATATTCTGGACGTTGTATTCCATGGCAATGATAACGCGGAGATAACGCTAATATCACAGCCCAAGGTACCTTAGATTAGTCGCGGGCGCCGGTCAAGGTCACATCGAACGATTCTCTATATATTCATTCGACGTTGATGCCACTGTGCATGGCTAAACATCCGACCTCGTAACTTTCACCCATCTTTGAACACCGATCATCGGACTCAACAGGCAGTTTCCAAGAAGTATGGCTCCCGAGAAGGACATTCACACGATGGACCACGATGTCAATCGAGCCTCATCTCCACAGCCGCACGGCGAAATTGAGGAGGTGAAGAAGAGCGCCGGTCAGCTGGATGCAGCAGCTGAGTATCTGCGTCTTCACCAAGATGAATTCGTCGATATCACCGAGGAAGAGGAGCGCAAGGTTCTCCGCAAGATTGATATTCTGCTGATGCCGATCATGCTTGTGACCATTACATTGGCCGCCGTAGATGTGCGTTCGAATCCAGACCCGATGTGGTAGTAACAATCCCGAGTCTACAAGTGTACTAACAAGGCATAGAAAATTGTCATCTCCAATGCTGCGCTCTATGGCATGCAAACAGATACAGGCCTCAAAGGCCAATTGTACAGTTGGACCGGGTCTATCTTCTACTTTGGTTACCTTGTCAGGTATGTTTGTCTCGAAAAGAGGAGTTCTGGTAATCAATGCCTAATTATACACTTCAGCGAGTATCCTTCCAACTTCCTGCTGCAGAAGCTTCCGGTTGGCAAATTTCTCGGCATATCTTGCATTATCTGGTCCGCCATAGTAACTCTCATGGCGGCGGCACAAAACCCTCCCGGCATTATGGTCCTCCGCTTCTTGATGGGTGCACTGGAAGCACCTTTGTTCCCGTCCTGTTCCATCATTACCGTGATGTGGTACAAGCGATCTGAGCAGCCCATCAGAACGGCCATCTGGTTCTCTGGACTTTCTTCTGTTAGTCCAAAGGCTATCATTCAAGTTTGATCCAACGCTAATCAAATGGCAGCTTGTCACAGGAATCGTGTCCTACGGTATCGGTCACACCAACACTTCCATCGCACCGTGGAGGCTTCTCTTCATCGTACTAGGCGGGTTTACATTCCTGTGGTCCATCTTCATTACGATCATGTTGCCAGATTCTCCTACCAAGAATCGTTTCCTCAATGAACGTGAGAAATACATTGCAATCATGCGCATCAAAGACAATATGACGGGCACAGAGTCAAAGGTCTGTTTCTCAGATGACGATCAGCGAGGAGAGTCTTACTGACCTAATCTTTGACTCTAGGAGTTCAAGTTTTATCAAGTACGCGAAGCTTTGACTGATTGGAAAACATGGCCACTCGTAGTGTTTGCCCTCTGCATTAACATCCCTAATGGGGGCTTGGTGACATTCGCGGCTCAAATTGTGTCAGGTCTTGGTTATAGCAGGCTCACCACAACCCTCCTTGGAATGCCGACAGGAGTTGTAATGACGCTGACTGCTTGGTCACTGGCATATCCTGCATCGAGACTGAAGAATGTTCGATGCATCCTCGCTGCTGTTAGCTGCTTGATTCCATTGACCTGCTGCATTTTGATGATGAGTGCGTAGATCTCTGCTTTCACCCTATTTTCTCATACATAATATCTCTTAGTTTCCTTGGCTCATGAGCATTTTGCTGACCTTTCTTGCGAAAACAGAACTCCCACGTACAAACAAGCACGGCTTACTCGCCTCGTACTACTGCTTCTATTCCTATTGGGCACCATACGTGACCGTCACCTCCCTCCCTTTCGCCAACACCTCAGGCCATACAAAGAAAACCACCGTCAATGCACTGATGTTTATCGCATATTGTGTCGCCAACATCATTGCCCCACAGTTCTTTATCTCCACAGAAGTCCCGGGTTACAGAACGGGATACTCGGCGATCATGGGCTTCCTCTCTGCGGGAATCTGCATGTTGGCTATATACGCTGTGGGCTTAAGGTTCGAGAATGAAAAACGCGACAAAGTCATCGCCGAGAAACGCGCTGCTGGGGTTGACGTTGATGCTGAACGGGAGGCCGAGTCGCTCCTGGACAAGACGGACCGCGAGAAAACCTACTTCCACTACTTGTATTAAGAAGACACTAATAAAGTATCGGAAACGACTTGAAAGAATAGCCAGAAAGATACATTCTCACGATTCATCACTTTGTTAGTTATGTGAAGCATGTTAGATAGAACTTCGAGTGTCAGGTAGCTGCATGTCATATCATTTGTCAAGAAACTAATTGTGCCGTACACTTCAGCCGTTCATTCGTTTCTACAGTATTCCTAGGTAAAGAAGATTGTGTACCTTTGTTTTATTTCTTTTTGTAACTTTTCTTTTAAATAAGTGCTTCTTATCGACTTCTGAGGCAAGTTCGATATCCGAATCCTATGTGCAGTAATGTTTTTCATTACTTGATGGCGTTGGTCGCACAGCTCCCCGTTATCGGATCCCCCAGCCGCCAAGCGCTAATCCTGAACACTGGGGTTCGGTGGGGGCTCCCTAAAACCTAGGCTCGCTAGCCTCATCTAAGCTATTCCCAGCGGATCAACCTGCTCAACTTTTAAAGCCACGCTAGAGGAAAATACATGGATCCAAAGCGATTGTGCCACTGACTTATTAACAGAATATGATACTGTTACATTCAAGCCAGGTCCATGACGAGATAGGAGGCTTGATATTCTTTGATACTAGAACAGTTTTAAAATATTGTGGTTATCGCCAGACTTCCTTTTACCAGCAGGTTGATCTACTCCTTCAGAATTGACTGTAGCTGCCTCGAAACGCCGAGCGTACATAGCATCATGGCTGCATCCAAAGGCAGCCAAAATGCTGCCTCATCCCTTGCTGGGAAATCCATTCTTTTCGTTGGCGGAGGCACGTTTGGAGTCTCTGCAGCCTATCATTTGGCTGACAGGCTTGATCTGGCTGCATCGAAAACAACAATTACCATAGTAGACCGCTTCGAGAGCCCTTCGCCAATCGCAGCATCCACTGATCTCAACAAGATCGTCCGCAGCGACTACTCGGAGCCCATGTACGCTCGACTCGGTGTTGAGGCAATGAATGAGTGGAAGAAGAAAACGGGCATGTTCGCTGGCATGTTCAAGCAAACGGGCTGGTTCCTCGCTGCGCAGAACGTCAGCATTCCGTTTATTGAGACGTCCGTGGCGAATCAGGAAAAACTTGGTATAAAAGGCGTGAAGAAGGTCACGCCGGAAGAAGCCCGCAAAATCAGTCCATCTTTCACGGGGTCTATGGAGGACTGGCAGATATGGTGGAATCCTTGGGCAGGCTGGACTACCAGCGGCGACGCGCTCGCCGCCATGACCACCGCAGCGAAGCAGCTCGGTGTCAAGTATGTCTCTGGGGACGACGGCTGGATCAAGAAGCTCCTGTACGCTCCGGATGGGACATGTATCGGTGCGGAGGCAGCCAGCGGTGCGCGGCACTATGCGGACAAGGTCGTTGTGAGCGCTGGCGCGACATCAGCAAGTCTGCTAGACTTTGAGGGCCAGCTCCAAGCCAAGGGCCACGTGGTGGGCCATATTCAGTTGAGTCCTCAAGAGGCGGAGAAGTATGCGAGCCTCAAGATAGTAGATCATTTTGAGCAGGGCATTCTCTTCCCGCCCAATCGTGATGGCATTATCAAAGTTGCCACAGTCAATTTTGTCACCAACGTTGAGGATCCGGAGAAGCCAGGGCTTAGCCTACCGCGCTTCCGACAGGACAACCCCCGAGACGATGTGCCCAGGAAAATTGAGGGAGAAATTAGGGCGTGGATGCGCGAGTTTGTACCAAGTTTGGCTGACAAGCCCTGGTCAGAGACCAGGATATGCTGGTACGTGTGGCTGCTCCTCCAATAGCATCTTCTGCTTGCCAATGCTAACCGATTTTCAGGGACACGGATACTCAAGACCTTCATTTCCTCATTGACAAGCATCCCAAGCACAAAGGGCTCTATCTTGCTACTGGAGGTTCAGCACATGGCTTCAAATTTCTGCCCATCATTGGCAAGTATGTCGCCGATATGTTAGAGTCAAAGCTGGATCCATCACTTGCAGAAACCTGGGCATGGAGGCCTGGATGGCAACGCAAAAGCCATGGGCCGGATCCTCACCCTTACCCCACACGAGATCTAGCCGAGTTTGAGGATTTCAAGCCGATGAGAGCATCGAAGCTATAGATTCTTAGAGGAGCGAAAGGATTCAATAGTTTGCATTATGTGGCTTAAGAAATTAATGATTATCGGTTGGGGCAATCTGCACGGGTTGCAAAGACAAACCCTGCAGTATAGGTCGCATGCTATCTTGACATGAGCCATAGTTCGTGTTAACCTAAGATGTAGTTTCTACGCCTACAAAATTAGTGGCCGATTGAGATCTAGCATCTTTTCCATTAGGGAGTGCAGTATAATCTAACAACGTTATAATAAGAACGTGTCCATTTGTCCTCTTGAAGAGGCAAGGCAAGGCTATGCAGGTCTTATCTTCATGAATCGAGTTTCTCTTCCTTCTGTCTCAAAGACCAGTGGTTTCCCGTACAGTTTAAAATACAGCTATCATACGCTTCACAGCATCAAGTAATCCTATGTTTTGCTAAGTCAAGTGTTAGTTACGCTAAACCAGATATCTTATTCGTAATGATACAGCCCAAGTTACAGCAAACGATATCGCAATCCGAAAGACGACTATAGATCGAGCTGCTATCCGTGGGAGATAACATAATCCCCTTTGGCCCATGCTATAGGGAGCCATGGTTGTCTTGGGCAGCCGGTATCAACTTCTAGAGGCCGTACCCCGCTTGATTTGGGGCAAAGTCCAGTCTAGCCTGGACATGAGACGCATACAGGCTGAGCCAAGACAGCCTATTAGAACCTTGCATCGGGTGCGCCTATATTCCCCGTGGGGTAGGTTTTAGTGAAAAGGACCGCCAAGACAATGGCTTGAAATGAGGTTGGTGGTCTGCTTCGGCAAATATAACATCTTGAGGAGTATGCATCGTTCGGTCGTAGTATGTAAACTACCTGCTTGCTACTCCAACTTGGAGACCTGTACCTTCAATGGAACTTGGAGAAGGTAGTAATTGGTCTAACCCCTCATGATGGCCTTAGATCCTAGTAAAGACACTATTCGAGCCCATTGGCGGTGTTTTGCTGCTTGTGGCGTCGTTGTCTTGTCACCCTTCCAATATGGAGTTGATTTTGGATTGATCGGAGGCTTACAGGCAATGCGCGGCTTCCTCGAGGTAAGTGGCCTCAGTTAATGCTTTGAAAGGAATCTAAACTTTGTGTGTTTGAACATAGATTTATGGATACCCAGCACCGCAAACTCCGTTAGGATGGAATATTACCCCGACAAGGCAACAACTCATCTCATCCCTAATGACTCTTGGAGCGTTCATCAGCTCTGGATTAGCTGGTTTTGCTGCTACTAAGCTGGGGCGGAGAACATGTCTCTGGCTCGCCTGTATATTATGCTGCGTCTCAAATATCATAATGATGGCTACAGAGAACATTGGAGCGTTATATGCCGGGCGTCTCCTCATCGGACTTGCCAACGGATACTTCATGACGTTTTCACAGCTCTACATTCAGGAGAGTAGCCCCGCCAAGTATCGCGGTCTATTTCTTTCGGTCTTCCAGTTCTGCACATCATTTGTAAGTGCGAGGCTCTCATCATGTGAACGAATTTGTGTTGATAGGGGCGCATGTAGGGTACCTTAATTGGTACAATCATTGACTGGGCAACGGCAAAAAGACCCGACAAGTCTGCCTACCTGATACCTCTGGGGATTGTCTTCGTCGTGCCATTATTCTTATCCATTGCAATGATATTCATACCTGAATCACCTCGATGGTTGATCTTGCAAGGCCGAGTTGACGAGGGCCGCAAATCTTTACAGTGGCTGAGACCTAAGGGAACAGATGTCCATGATGAGATGTCAGACATTCAGGCGGCGATAGAGAGAGAAAAGGAGCTTGGTAGCAGCGTAGGGATACTTGACATGTTTAGGAATCCCATAGACCGGCGGCGTACTACTCTTGCTGTCTGCTCTGTCACACTTCAGGCAGCGTCCGGTTCTATGTTCATCATTGGTCAGTCCCCTAGACCCAGGTCTAAGACCTTGCTAATGAAGATGGATATAGCATACAAGGCGTATTTCTTCACAATGGCTCAGGTCCACGACCCATTCGCAATGACCAATGTGCTCAGTATGGCTGGTCTTATCGCTATCATCATCAATTCCCTCATTGTCGTTCGATTCGGCCGGCGAAGAGTTCTGCTATTGTCTGGCCTTATTGTCTGTGGTTTTCTGCAACTGATTATCGCTGTCGTATTTGACAAGAAAGGGAGGACGGATACGACGGGCAAAATCCTTGTCGCCCTTTCGTGTCTTTATCTAATGAGCTATAATGTAAGAAGATGCACGAACATCAGACTACTTGCATGCTAACACGAGAGTTCAGGGCATGATTGCCACCTATGCCTGGCTGTCCGGTGGAGAGATCCCATCCCAGCGTCTCCGCAGCTATACATTCGGCCTAGCAGCAGCCGTCGGCTTTCTTGGAGCATGGCTCACCACCTTTACGGCGCCATATTTCATTAACCCTGCATCATTGAACTGGGGCCCCAAGTACGGCTATATTTGGTTTCCATCGTGTGCAATCGCGGCACTATGGGTGTTCTTCTTCCTGCCGGAGGTCAAGGGCCGGACTTTAGAAGAAATTGACGAGATGGTAAGCATGGCTCTCGCTATATATTCTCAGGGGTGTAGGTGCTAACGTTTCATGTTTCTCAGTTCCAAGCGAAGCTACCAGCGCGCAAGTTCCGGAAATACAAGTGTATCGGCCGAGCACGTCTAGATGACAAACAGAGAAAAAGTCTGGACACACAGGTGTGGGAGAACGAGAAGGCAGTAGCTGAGACCGAAGCCACTCTTGGATAAGGCTCTGACGAACAAGACGTCGAGGGCTCAAGTTGGGCGTGGATGGGATGCTGAGATCGACAGCACCTAAGGCATGTGCCGCAGACCATCATAGTTGTTGTAAACAGAGTTGCATTGATTTTGAATCATCTGGTTCGCAACAATTTCCCCACAGCCAATTCTCGTACAGAGGAACAACTCATACAAGTAGATAGGTAATTTGCCATTACCTATGAGATGCAAAGTGCAGTTCTTGCCGAACGAAGAAAAGGCTCTCATAATATTTTAGTACAAGGTGTCTACTGCTACCTATGGATCACGTCCACCTCTGGTACTCGATTTTAAACACCCAGCAAAATTTGCCTCCTGTGACTATCTCTTCCGTCACCTTGATCACCACATGGCCATTACTGGCAAAGTCCCATTGCACTTCCTTCTCGCCCTCCATCCCCACAGCAGTAATTCTATCACCCTTGACAATCGGTAATTTCGAGCGAATTACCAGCCCGCCAATTTCAGGTTCTTCCAAACTCAGTATATAGAACGCGTCATTTGTCTGCGTAAATCGCAGGTTATCCTCTTCGGGTGTAATTGACCAGTATGTGGTATTGAACACGGCTTCCCCGTGTGCTTTGATCCACGTTCCAGCCTCACGCAAGTTGTCAACTTCTCTTTGGACGATTGTGCCATCTGATCGAGGTCCGATATCTAACAAAAAATTGCCATTCTTACTTACCATGTCAACCAAGTTATGGACTAAGGTGCTAGCATTCATGTACTCTGTCTCGGCTGTGGCACGATTGTAACCGTACGAATATGGATCCATTCCCTGGTTGCTCTCCCACTTGCGACGTTGCACAGTACTGAAAGTGGCGTATTCGGGAGTATCAAAATCGGCAGCCCACGGGCTTCCACAACGATCGTTGATTGTAACTTGCCGCCCTTGAGATCTAGCCCAGTTGAACCAGCGTGCTGCGAACCGTGCGGTGTCATTAGCTGCCCCGGCATCACACCACATGATGTCTGTATTGTAGTTGTACGCCAGTGCCTCCATCTGTGGCACCATTAGATCTTCGATGAAGTCACCTATGGGGAGGCGACCGGTATATGGCTCTTCAAGTCCCGTGTAGGGGTTGCGGGCGATGATTCCTGGGTGCGAGGTCGAAGTGACTCTGTCGAATTGCGTAAAGCCGTACTTTCCCCAGTCTGGGTTAAACCACTCGGGAATGCTGAAATATGTACCACGGCGCAATTGAGGTTGATATGTTGCTGCAGCCTCGAACAGCTCGCCAAGAATGTCACGCTTGGGTCCATAGTGCAACGAAGAGCGATTCGTTGCGGAGCCAGTATCGAAGTTGGCAAACCCATCATGGTGCTTTGTGGTGAAGACAAAGTATTGGGCACCAGCATCAGCGAACAAATCGACCCAGGCTTTGGGATCAAACGCAGATGCAGTATAGTTCTGGAAAAAGTCATCATAATCAAGATCGGGTCCGAATGTGCGCAGTCTATAAGCATTGAACCCGCACTTGTCTGCAGCAGCAGCTTCGTTGATTCGTGTTGAATACCACCAAAACCACTCCGCATAACATTCCGTTGGTGTTGAGTTCCCCCAGCCAGGAACCGAGTACGGCCCCCAATGGATGAAGATGCCAAATTTTGAGTCGTCATACCATTGCGGGACTTCATGTTGCACGAGGCTGGTCGAGTCGGCCGTGAAATTATGTAGTCCAATAGATATGTTTTCGAAATGTGTCTCTTTCTTGTGCTTTCCAACCTGCATGACTGCTGTCACATTGCCATCGTATGATCCTTGTACGGCCACATTCACGCGCTTTTGGTCACCTGGACACAGTCTTTTCACCACAGTGGGCTCGATTGTTGTCACACCTGGCGCCTCTATAGATGCCAGCAAACCAGATACACAGGTGGGCCCAGCGTTATTGACGATCAGTTCTATGACTTGGTTCTCATCCTCTACCCATTTTTGGGTCGGACGCAATGACTGAATGTGGACATTCGGGCCCTTGTAGAGTGACATAGCGAAAAGGTGTAGTCTTCCGGTGGTCGAATTAGTTGTGTTGGGCAACACGATGGACTCGAGTACTTTGGTGTTATCTAGCACTGTTGTGTACTCGTAAATGTGTGACGCATTATGGTTGGTGTCATTGTGAGTGAAGAAATACGGGAAGGTAATCTCGCCTCGACGAATGGCAAGGAACCACCAGAATGCATGGGCACGAGCTTCAGCAGTTGTACTAGTGCCATCAGTATATTGTAGGGTTAGATTCCCGGAGACTGTAGTAGAGCGCACGTCGGAAACGATGAGCACTGATGCCGAAAAATACTGATCCTTGGGCACGGGAATTTGCTGTGCTTCGCAAATTACATTATCTGCGGTGGCATTGGGATGGTATCCTGGAAAGATGTACTCTATGCCAGTATGGGTAGACGTGTATATCCCATCTTTGCCCACGGTGTCTGCCGGATAAGACTGGCCGAGTACATCGAGAGATGCTTCACCAGGCTTGCTTCCGAATGCCTTGTTGTTGAAAAAGTCATCCAAAGGGACCGGGATGGACTTTAGATTGGTTAGTGATTGTCGATAACAGGCTCGAATCAATAAAAAGATCTTACTTGACCACCTGTCGGACATCTTGCAGTTGTCCCAGACAATGAGGACAACACCGCCCAGAACAAGAGCAAAAAGGCCTTCATGAAACCTGTGTCTTCCAAATCACTCCGTAAAGGGAAACTCTGGCTAATGAGCCACATACTTTCTTCAGCAGAGCTCGCATCGTAACGCTTATATTGTAGAGTGCACGGCTCGTGGAGGTTCCGACGGGTGATTTGATTTCAGTGAATGAGGAGCAAAAATTGATGCATTCGTCGTGATCGGCATTACCTCTTCGTAGGTCGGTTGATTAAGGCAAGTTGGGCAGGTGCTTATGGCCAGTTTGAGGGGCATGAGGGGGCAAAAATATGGGGCACACCTTTGGCGCGCCTTGGATGGGGGTCAACTCTCCACCTCTTCAGTAAGAATTGAGGCTATTCAGTGCATCTATGAGGTTTGTGTGGGGGTCATGCTCCATCGAAATCGATGATAACGCTTCGGACGTTGAGGATTAACAGGGGTCCAAGGTCGAAAAGGTGGTAGTAAAACCTAACTACCGGGAACATCTCACGAGAAAACAAGATGAGACCAGAGATCTAGGGTAGTTAGTACCGCCCAGGCGGGTCAAGCATCGAATGATAAAGAGATAAGAAACAAGCTCGCCATACTCCTCGGCTCTTGCCGATAAAGGTCTTGGGTATGAATTGGTACTCACAAGGCGTGTCCAAGCTAAGGTGTAGCTGGCAACATCATCACCGGCCTTCAGCAAATTATCGGAAATGCCTGGCAAGGTTTAGTGTCGTATAATTATGTATTCGGGTGATAATTGTTTTGTATTAAGTAAGAGCTCGAATGTCAACACTTTTGGAAGCATGCTTGAGTGTTAACCACTGAAGGTTCGCACTGGTTCTTAGGCATGGATTCTTAAAGAGATTATCATGTGTGTCCAAGACTATTAGCAACATTGTACTCAGTGAGGCCAGATGTTTACACATCTAGTTAGTCGCAAACGACACGCATTTCATTAAACATCATCACAGAATAGTCTCGTCCAGCCTTTGATGGTCGATAGGACATTTTCTCTAATGTAAAATTGTCGGAGGATTGGATTACGTGAAATTCATGGAGGTCACGGACAAGGCACTCGAGTATTCTTAGGTAACACAAGACCCCTAATATTACTCTCTAGTTGTGACTGCATACACGTTCTCAGAACACACATGGTCATCTGCTTCGAGCAAATGAACAATCCAACTGACTTTCGCGGTTACCTAACAGTCGGCAATAGCGAATCACTTTTGATGGGTACATAAGCGAAACTCACGAAAGAGAGAACATCGGAGCTGAATTGCTCCTCCGGAGTTAATAAAGCAGGCCAAGAAACTCGTGCCAAATAATCAGAAGATCTGATCAGTCCCGGCACCATGCCATCTCCACAAGGACACGAGGAGGAGTGGTTGGTCAACAAGCCTAGTTCAGGCAGTTGAAAGCTTGGCTGCACTTGATAGACTTAGAAGCAACGTAGCGAACAGGCAGGCAGTCAGTCAGTTAGTCTTCATCTTGAATCCTCGAGGCTAAGTAGCTCTGAAATGGAAATTGCATCTGAGGTCATATGCACATCCTTTCATGTACTAACGTCAAAGTTGAGCGTATATGATAGTCTTGGGAGGCTACTGCCCACGAATCACATCCCGACGCGTAAAAGGATTGTCTAAAACCTAGTGTAATATCGCCGCTGGCCATCTCCGAGCTATGTGGAAAGGCATGCGCTTCTCTTGCCTGAAGGTGCTCTCCGCCAACCGGTCCAATTACTCCTGAACAGCGCATCAGCTACGGAGCAGATACGCCGCCCTCCAAGGCATCTGTCCGGAGGTCGTCGTTCACGGAGAACGAGCCCGATACCGCAGCTCCCGCAACTCCGGAGCGCTGGACGCCACTTGCGGCAGCTCGCCTTACAATCGGGACGCCACGGCGGTTGCGATCAGTTGGCGCGAATAGCTTCGTCGATGCAATCTGGGATGGCTGCACTCCACGTGTCACAGAATTATCGGGCGCGGCAAGAGCCAGATTACGCCACTAAAACTGCAAGTATGGACGCACGAAGTTGGGGAAAAGGGGCATGCATGTAACGGTCGCCGTGTCGCGAATGGCCTGCTGCACCTCTTAATGCGCAGCTACTGCGTGCGATCTGGACAACGAGGCGGTTGTGTGTGTGTGCGGCTGAGATTCGTCAATGGAGGACGAAGAGCGGCAAGTTTTACACTGGTAGCATTGAGCTAGCTTGCGCTACCTTTTAGCTGCTTCACGGAGTCGGGATGGCATTCGCGGTTGGATACGCATCTCCCGGAACATGATATTATCACGATAAGAATGTCAAGATGACATCTAGAGGGCAGAGGCCGAATGCTCAAGAGCCAAGAACGTCATCTCACTTGTTGAGTTGGTGCAGACATCGGACCAGAATCGGAGGCGCGACAAATCACCATTTCGGTTGAAATCGCGGTTTGTGATGATAGTGCATGACTCTCAATCCTGTGGTCGGTTCTGCCGCTGTCGAAGTTCGCCTCAATGTCGGAGAAACGCTGTCAAGGTCCTTCACCAAAGAACCCAACAAAGAAATGGAAACGAGTCAGCTACGCTCCGCCCACGGGACCGCCATTACCTCGTGGTTGCGGCTCGCTTTCGCCGCAGTGGATTTGGCAGCCTGGGTCGCCTGCTAGCCAGCCAGCCTAACAAAGCCGGCGTGGAAGGGCTGAATCGCTCCCTGCGAATTCTAGGCTGAGGGTCAGCCGGGCCTTTGTGTCAGCTTCTGAGTAAGCACTGCCTCAAAGAGAGTAGCACACGAGCACACGCATTCCCAGATCAATATGCAGGTGGATGAATTGACTCGCGGGGATGGGTTTGTCTGGTGCAGAGAAGACAGCCAGTGGCCTGTTTCGAAGACCTCTAGGCAAGACAGAGCCAGGTCCGCCGACTGAGCGGACCTATGATCGGCATTGCGCGATACAACATGCCCCAGTCCCCAGTCCAGTGTCCTGGAGGCATACTGTACAATACGAAAGCACGATGGATGCAGGCTGGCAGGCTGGCAGGCTGCAGGAAAGGGCCTCAGTGGAGATAGGTTATCGCAGCACGACCAACAAGATACGGGGGTTGGCATGTAAGAGCGATAATAGACGAGTCCAGGCTGCCAATGAATCTCCAACGGGCTCCCACCATTTCGATATCACGGCTATCTATCGTTGAATTGACAGATGGGATGCAGGGGAATTAGATATCGACACCTCTCACTGGCTGGAAGATGCACGCCCGCCGTGCGCTCGAACCGCTTATCGGAAAGTCAAGAGTCATGGAAATGGCGCCTCGGGGCTGATCGGAGCCAGATTTGGGGACTGACGGCGGCGTGGCTGTAATGGGCTTCGGGGTCCAAGGGTCCATCCACACCAAATGTCTAGGAAATGCCCACTCTTTTCGTCGCTTGGAATCCCACGCCGTCCACGCTCTCCAACCTGCGAGCTGCTGATGCAGAAGGCTGGATCCACCCCCAGCAAATCTAGCCCAGCCAGACTCGCCAGACCATAGAGGTACGACCACGGCTGGGTCACCAAGCAGGCATTGACATGATGGACAATGCCACTATTCCCGACTCAGGATGTACCGGCTTCTACGGCTGCCATGACTGGACACCCTGGATGCCTCTCGACCAACCCGCGGCCTCAGCGCCGCCGGGGAAGCACGCCCTGCCCTCCTCAACCCCCGTCACCGCCGCTGACTAGCCCATCACGAAATATTGAGAGCTCCCCCGACTCGCGGCTCTGCCTGCCTCACTGTCGGCGAGTGGCTGACAATGTCCGCCCTCCATTGTTACGTCCTGCATGACCCCTTATGACCGTTCTGTCTGCCGTGCTCGTAGCACTGGGTGGTGTCTAGGCCTCCCTCGACGTGATATAGGCATATATTCGCAGCTGCGCAACAGACGGACAAGGCTTTCTCCATCAGCGCTCATATAGATACTTGACTGCGGCACGGACACGTCTCTTTCGATATCTTGGACTTCGAGACGATCCCTAATCAAGCGGGTATACGTTCCCATACATAGCAATTGATCTCCTGATCGTCTTATCAGGGACGACAGATCACCGTGTACAAAGCCGTCGATCGAGTCTAGAACGGCTGAGTCGGCCTCCCGAACCGCCCTCCGCCACCCCCGTTGATAGACCGGACCCTGATTCTCGCTCAACAGATCGTCCCCGGTCTAGGTGTGTTAGCTCCCCTTTGGCTGCACAACGGTCTGTCACCGAGCTATCAATTAGTCACTAATCGATAACAAAGCAGCTGCCACCCCCCTACTTCCCTCTCTCGACCTTCCTATCTTTCTTCACTCACGTTCGACAAGCCTTACTCTTTCAGCTCCTTGCCTTATCTTGCCAATTTCTCCCTCTAAGCTCTATTTGTGCTTCATATAACTTGACAACACTGGAGATTTTCGAGCTGGCCTCGGCATAGGAACTTCTATCCACAACCATGGGGAAGAAATACAGATACGCGAGCTCCTCATCCTCCTCCTCGGACTCAGACTCGGAGTCTTCTTCCGTCCTTCCTCCGCCCCGCCGACACCGACATCGTGACCAAACCTACCGTAACCGCCGGCGAAGCCCTCCGGCACCAGAGTATCCTTCGCAAGGCTTGGGAGCTGCCCCTGCAGCCAAAGAGGAGGAGAAGAAGAAAAAGAAGAAGAAGCCCCCTCCGCAGCAGGGCATTGATAAGATATGGGAGCTATTCTCCCAGAAGAAGTTCAGCAAGGCGCTCGCTGTTCTACCCTTCTCTCCTGTCCCACCATCGTCCTCCGGCGAACGAGCCAATGAGCTCTTGTCCGCGGGGTACGACCGGGCGGTGGAGGAGTGCCGACAGAGGGTGCGCAAGATCATTGCTGAGTGTAAGAGAATAAACACGCGCTATCGTGACCGCTGGGACATTGTAAGTTTGCTCAATTCCCTGCAAAGCTCTCTTAGACGTCTGCAACATGTGGGAGTGATTTGTGATGCCCATTTCAATAAAAAGTCAAGCCCTTGTTGTACACAATAATTACTGTGCCTAGTCTGCTATTTCCTAATACTGACATATCACCTTGCTCTGTAGGACTGGGACCTGAAATGGGAGAAAGGCCATTGCCTTAATAGTCTCGGCTCCACCAAATTTGACATCAACATGTCCACGATGTTGAACCCCAATGCCAACATTCCGAAAGCCGTCAAGCGCGTACATGAAATCTATGAGAAGCCCACTTTCATGGAGAAGGTGCTTCCCGGCGACATCAAGCAAGGCAATCTAGGCAATTGTTGGTTCGTGGCTAGCTTGACTGGGCTAGCCAATGTTGAGGATGGCATTAAGCGGATTTGCGTCGAGTATGATACCAGTAAGCAATCTCAGCGTATAGCCGAATCCCTTTCGTTCCAAGTATTGATCTTGATCAGAAATCGGAATCTATGGTTTCGTCTTCTATCGCGACGGCGAATGGGTTTGGTCAATCATCGACGATAAGCTTCATTTGAAGTCCCCATGCTGGGATTCGCCCTCAATGCAGCGTGATCTACTGCAGCAAATTGACCGAGAGGATGTCGAGCGTGTATACCGCAAGACATACCAGACGGGATCCAAGGCACTGTTCTTCGCCCAGAACAAGGATCAAAACGAGACCTGGGTGCCGCTCATTGAGAAGGCGTATGCTAAAGCCCACGGAGACTATGCTTGTTTGACCGGAGGCTGGATTGGAGAAGCATTGGAAGATCTGTAAGCAATCTACATCGCATACTCTAGGTATTCTTCGTTACTGACTCCGATGGTTCAGGTCTGGTGGTGTCACTACCGAGCTGCTTGCCAGCGATATCTTAGACACTGAGGAGTTCTGGAACAATGAGCTGTCTCGAATCAATCAGGAATTTCTATTCGGATGTTCTACCGGACTCCTCGATGGAGGATATGGAAATCGCGACGGCATCTCGGAGGGGCACGCCTATGTTATTATGGAGGCGAGGACGCTCAAGAATGGCACTCGGCTGCTAAAGCTAAGGTGAGGACCGTTCGCAATAAGCAAATGTAGCAACTGCTGATCGTACGTCTTTTAGGAACCCTTGGGGCAAGATTAAGAAGGGCAACTGGGAAGGAGCTTGGTCTGACGGTTCCAAGGAGTGGACCACTGAAGTCCAGGAGGAGATCAACCACTCCTTCGGAGGCGACTCTACCTTTTGGATCTCCTACGAAGACCTCCTACGCAAGTATCAGCATTTCGATCGTACAAGGCTCTTCCGTGATCCTAATTGGCGATGCTGCCAACGCTGGATCGGCGTCGAGGTGCCCTGGAAGGCCCAATACCACGAGAAGTTCCATATTAAGCTCACTAAGGACTCTCCTCTCGTCCTGACCCTCTCGCAACTAGATGCCCGCTACTTTAAAGGCTTGCAGGGGCAATACAACTTCCGCCTACAGTTCCGCTTGCATGAGCAAGGGAGGCCGGATGCCGAAGACTATATCGTTCGGTCACACGGAAACTACCTCATGGATCGGAGTGTCTCTGTCGAGCTACCTAACATGCCCGCCGGGTCCTACACTGTGTTTATCTCCGTCATTGGCGAGCGGGACTCTAAAGCCCCGTCCGTCGAGGATGTCGTGAAGCGCGAGTGCAAGCGTCGAGTGGAGAACGAGAAGCTGGCACAAGTGGGCCATGCTTACGATCTCGCTCATAGCAAGGGTGCTGCGCACCTCGAGGCCCTGGCCAAGCTCCGCAAGAAGACTGACTCCGGCAAAGCCAGTGATGCTCGCAAGACGGAGCGCCGCAAGATGTGGGAGAAACGACACTTGCAGCGTGACATTCAGAAGAAACAAGGCAAGAAGAACACAGCCAAACGTGATCGCCGCAAGGCGCGAGAGGCGGAGGAAAAGGCCAAGGCTGCCGAAGTGAAACGCGTCCAAGAAGAGAAAGAAGCCGAAGAGAAGCGGATGCAATTGGAGAAAGAGGCAGAGGAGAAGCGTCTCAAAGAGGAGAGGGAATCTGAAGAGCGCAAGAAGATCGAGGAGCTTCAGCCCAAGGACAAGGCCATTCAGACCGAGCATGAAGTCAAGTCAGAGGTGAAGGACGGAAGTCCCCAGCCAGAAATTTTGGATGACAAGTCTGATAGCGCCTCAACTTCCTCCAGCAGCACCCCCCAGTACACGCCCAAGAGCGATAGTGCTGTGCCCTCTGATGATGACAAAGAGAACACTGTTGTCGTTATCCCTCCGGTGGATGCATCCGCTGTCTCTGGCGGTCCGCCTCCGGCCACAACTTCCGTTGAAGAAGTAAAGGCTAAGGATGAGCAAGTCGCTGAGGACAGCAACAAGGCTCCCGCTCCTCCAGCAGCTAAAACAAAGCCTCCACCTCCCCCACCAGCTGCTGAGGATTCAGACGGCGACTCATCTGATTCACCCGTTGAGGACTGGGAGGAGCTGTACTCGAGCGATGATATGAGCCTGAAGCCTCGCATGGCTCCAGTCCCGGCCCAACCAGCGAAGAAGGAGGAGTCTGATGACGAGGAGCCAGACACTCCTGATCCGTGGAACGCCATTGCCATTGTTGGTTTCCGGGTTTATTCGATGGACGAGAATCTTGAGCTACGAGTTGTCTTGGAAGGTGGAAACTTGGAGGAAGGCGGGATGGGCGAGAAAGGCGAAGCTGATATCGATAATGCTCAGTCAAATGCCGGGGGTCAGCGCAAGAAGGAGCAGAAAGACGAAGACAAGAAAGATAAGAAGGAAGATCAGAAGCAAGAGAATGACAAGAAAGCCCAGGATGAGAAGACCGACGAGGCCAACAAAGATGAGACAAAGGCTGATTCTGAGGCTGTCAAGAAAGACGATGATACATTGAAGCCTGTGGACTCGAAATCAGGGGATGGCTTCGCGGCTTATAAGACCATCATTGTTCGGCAGACCAGCGAATTCGATCGAGTAATGGGCGAGAAGAAGCAGAACGATGCTTCGAAGGACCTGGTTGATCAAGAGTCAATGCCTGTCTCTGAAACCATTGATAACGATTCGACACCGAAGGAAGACACCGCTGGAGTGGTTGTTGACGAGACTTCAGACGGATTTCCTTTTCCCGCGGTGCCTGATGCCAATGCAGACCTGTCTATCGAGAATGATGACGAGGACGTTTCGGTGACTCCATTCATCGTGGTGACGCCCGACAACGAGCGCGCCGATGAGAACGAGTAACACATGACTAGATCTGCTACGAGCGATGGTTTAGCAGTTTTTAGATTGCATTCGTCCTTGATGACGATAGATTTGTACGTACGAGACGAGATGACATGACGGCTTCCATTGGTGACGGAGTTTGGCATTTGCTTCTTTGTTCACTTTGATCGTAGAGCGCGAAAGATTTGATCTTTGGATAGTTTATTTGGTTATGTCTATGACTACTGTTGGGTATATACATGAGCCCTGTCGAATATCAATCTCATCTTTGTTCTTTCCGCAAATGCTGACAATCATGACTGCCGTGCGCGAGAGTGTTGAATTGTGGTGCTTCGGCCTGGTCGAAAATGGATTGGCGGCATGCTAATTATTACGGTCAACCTAGAGAGTCAATAAGCTGCCTATCCCTGAGGAATTACAGCGCAATCTGATCTACATATAGAATACGCTGTTCTATACGCTCACATGCATTGACGACCTAGCCCTATCGAGACTGTTGTCATCCGTCGCACCTACCTGTATTTGCATCCTGCGGCGATCCATGCCTTCTGTCACCACTACCCCTGGGGATGATGGCAGTTATAGGCCCATTCTCCGGCAAAGGATGCTGACAGACATCAGTGGACCTGATGTCGAAGGACGTGTTACCGCCAGTCGCCTACACAACAAAAGAGTTTACTTATCTGCATGAAAAATAGCTGACTTGAAGCCTGAAGTCTTGTCCATTCCAGCACTGTAATCCGGCATTTACAATGACCCGCCAGCATTACTACTCCATGTTGCATCCGCCCACCTTTCAGATGAAGTTACATAACATGAAGTGCAGGCAGAAACATTTTTAACGAGTCTGAAGATGCAGATTAATAAAGGAGATGGGCCGATAGAATGACGGCGTCCTTGGTGTTACGCCATCTCGAGTTACACGGGCGAAAGGGGTGTTGTGCGAATAGCGGGGAATGTCTTGCTAAACGTCCATTCACGGCCGCTGATTTGCTCTTCAAGCGCTTTGAAACCGACGATCCTGGGGGCTGAACGGCTTTGCGGTCGCAGTTGCTTCCCCAGGGGATGACGAGAATGATTGATGCAGCATACTTCTTGCCGGCCAGGAGTTCAGCGCGGGATCGACGGTCACTACATTGGAGCTGATAGGCCAAGTCTTCTTCAGCGCATGCATCCGTTCCGGTAACTCGTGTCCTGGACCGTTGGTCCAGAGAACATTGGAAATAAAGTTGCTGGGCCGCCGCCACCAGGCATGTGCCGGTCCCCCTTAACACTCTGGCGGGACTGAATCGAGGCAAGGATACGGCGCAGACGCATAGCCCTACTGCCTTATGTATTACCACCAATGTAACCTCGGTATCTAAGGATCCGCTCCTCCAGAGTCTCTCTCGATCCTTCCCGCCTTGTCCTACCCACTGAGAGCTCGATTCCAGCGCTGTGCCGCACGCTTGCCTAGAGGCGATGCTGCGCTGATGTCTTGACCTACTTGATATGGTGTCAATTGTTCAATCATCCAACTTCAAACCGTCTCATCCACCTGGGAATCCCTCAGTGCCGAGTGCCTGCAATAATCAGCTACAATGGCCCAAGAGTTGCAATGATGAATGAAGTAATATGCCAGTACCACAGGTAGTGACCGAGCCTTCTAAAGTGGGTTAAATAAGCTTGGATCCCGAGCAAACGGGTCTATTAGGATGATGGCTAGTGTGTCTAGTCTCCATTGTGCTGGTCAGAGCTTCTCGCCATGTCTAACTATTCAGTCCATACAGGGTTTTGGATAAACCAGGAGTCCGCTCCTGTCTACGGCGCCACACTAACAGTGCCAATACGGTGGGGTAACTATTTGGTCGCTGGACTGTCTTCCCTTGTGGCCTGGTCGGGGGTCTCCGCCTGGACACTTTGCGCCTACTTCCTACATCACCGCTATGCCGGCAAGGATCACAAAGACGTCCTCGATCGCCAATTGCAGGTTCTGCTTCGCGGTCCAGCAAGTGCCTTTGATGTGATAACAAGCACTTTCCAGCTCGAGAGGGCCTGGAGGAGGGAGAATTGCAGATCATCTAAACGCATTGTGCCTATCTTTTTTGCGGCATCAGTCATCTTCTTACTCTTTGCTGCCGCTGGTATATTCGTCGCGGAGGTGGCTAGCAAATCCTACCAGGACGTTCTAGTGCTAGCCAACCCATTATACTGCGGATATCTCACCTTTGGCACTCAAGGAGCGGTTGATCCTGTAACTGGCATACAGGTGCGTGAGAACAACGAAAGACGATACGCCCGGAATCTGCGGAAAATATCGAGACAGTACGCTACATCATGGTATGACGCCTCTACTCTCGGATCAAGGACCTCTTCAGATTTCTCTTCAATTACATTGCCTTTCAGCGGCACCGAGGTCCCGTGTCCTTTTATCGGAGGAAACACTACCTGCTTGGGTGCAAATCGTACAAGAGATGCTCCTGCATGGCAAGTCGATACCGGCGAACTCGACTCCTACGATCACTTCGGAATGAACGCACCTAAGTCAGAGCGTATCACATGGCGTAAGAAAACAACTTGTGCTGTTGTCGATGTCGACCCCTTTGTAGGACCTCCGGGAGTCTATCCAGTCAACCACAATTTCAACCCTGATAATCCACAAATCGATAACGTTACTTTGCAATGCGTCTTTCTAACATCCGACAAGTCTTGTCTCTTTGGATCTAACCCCGCTTCAAGATATGGCACTAATGCTTATGACATCCAGTAAGTGCCAGGGATTACTTGATGAGGTATTTGTCCTCTAATTTAGATCTCTACTCCAGGGCCACGACAACATACTCAAACCCGCCAGTGGAGGTTGACTCGGAAGACTGGTCTTGGGAGCCGATGCCTCCGTTTAATAACTCCAATGCGGATAAAGTATTTTATCTCGTCACACCAGCTGCCGCGAAATACTTCCAACCAGTTGAAGATCCCCTGTTCTTCGCTAATATCTCCGGCACGGATACGGGTTTTGTTTCTCCATTTGACTTCTCTCTCATGACATGTACGGATCAATATGAGATCTGCAATCCATCCAACAAGCAATGTTCTGGCTTGGGTGGCGTCTACAGCCTCAACCTTGACAATCAACCCACGGAGGTTCTCGATCGTCTTGGGTTCAACGCAGCTCAGCGGGCAACTGCCAAAAGGTTCTTTGAGAGCACAGCCTTGGGCGGCGAGACCTACCCGTTGAACGATGAATCAAGTCCAGGTGAGCTTGAAGTAGACCCCCAAACAACAACCATGAGCTGCACTAACGCTAAACCATAAGTCTTTCTCGCAACCGATGGCGCCACATTTACAACACTGCCAGGGATACCATCAAACCAATGGCAACTCGAGGTCAATCTTGTCTTTGAGACATCACTGGTCGGTTTGCAGCACACGCTACTGAACTGGATTGCGAAACCTTGGATGACTGGATACGAGGATGTGCCGGCATCCAGCAACGGCATGGTAGGGCCGTCCGATGCCGCAATCAATTCCACCGCCCTGACCAGCCGCTATATCGCCGCGGGACTTCTCGAACAGGAGCAAACGCTCTGCCGTAATCAACTGATTCGCACTGCTTCAGCTGTTCAGAACTTCAGTGTTCTCGCAACGTTTCTTGTGATTGCCCTGACCATCCTGATCATTGCGGCTGGTACGTTCTTGCCGGCTATCGTGAGCTTCATCCGTCAACGCCCAAGGTCGGGCAAGCACAGTTCACAGCAAGATTCAACGCACGAATTGATGAGAGAAGCGGACCAGCAATTCCAAATTCTTCGAATGGCTCTTGAGACAGCGGGCATCCACGACTGGAAGGTTGGCCCTGGTGGTATTCCCGTCACTACGAAACCTTTCAAAGTCACCAATCCTATCCAGATTGATGGCCTTCCAAGACATTCTACTTTCAGATTAGACTCTGAAGAGACGGGAGACGTTGAACAAGGTATCATCACCATTCAATCATCTATCAAAGTTCCGCCGGAGTATAAGGAGAAGGGAACTGATAGCAGAAAGTCTACTTGGAAGTCACAGAGCTCCTCGAGTAGCCAAGACTCACCTTCTAACTAGCCCTACATCTTTCATTATGACAAGACTCTATTTGCAATTTCAACGATAGCTTCAATACTATTAATGATCGGACAAGCAAGGTGTTTCTAGGCATTGAATCCTTCGTTCTTGCATGCTCTGATTATAGTACTATACATTTGTATTCAGCCAATTTTGTCGCCTAGATCCCTAAAGGAGTGAGGAGTATCTCAAGTGTTTACTATCCAAAATGTGACAGTTATGCTCCCTGACCCCACTGAGAATGTGGTAAAATACCAGAGTTATCTTATAGTATGCATTTCGTGCATGGCACGAATACTCAAAACTCTTTGTGCATATCAAGGTCATGTACTTGGCGGCACAGAAACCCCTCAACAACTGCTTTAGTACTTGACAGCCTCTGGACGAACTCCGGCTCGCCATAGCAAAAACCTTTGGTAATAGTCAAATGTGCCCTTCACGCTCGTCGTTACTATTGTCGGCGACGCCAGAGCCTAGACACCGAAGCAGCCAGGGACTTGATCTAGAACTGAAGAAGAGGCCGTCAGAGCCGCCAAAGGATGATACATCAATGTTTAGTGCAGATCCACGAAGTCAAAAGAGACATTGCAGCAACATTTGGGAAATCCTGTAAGAGTTTGCCAGAGATCTGGGAGTTGTAGTGTCAAATTTAAGTCGACAAGTGCAAGTCTTTAGCCTGTGTGAAAGTGATTGTATTTTCCACAGAATTCTGCTCAGAGATGTTTAGGTTCAACTCGCTCTACTCAGGACTGCTCGGTGTCTTCTTCCCTCCGACCCTCAAGAGGTTCAGTCTCAGCCCGTAACCCTCTCCGCCTGTCCATCCTTCTTCTCCATGGCCTGTACATGATGACAGATGCAATGCCCACCACCAAGAAAACGCCGCAAATGCTACCTCCAATGATCTCGAAATGGTCGCCAATGGCACTGACCCCGTCCCAAAATTGCCCCTCCGGCTCAGCCACGTTCTGGACCAAAGATAATACCTGGATGATACCGATGAAGGCCGCAACAAATACAGTGATCCCTGTCAGCACGATGGAGTAGTATAGAATGGCGACATGGTCCCTTGCAAATGCCTTCGATGTGTAAAGTGCCATCATAAGCGCTCCGTCAGTTGTATCAATTAGGCACATGCCAGCTTTATTTTTGGTCAGCCTCGTTTACTCAACAGTGGTCGATCCATCATGTCCTACCTGTGAATAGAACCGGGAAGATCAAGATAAGCCACATGCTCGTGCCCTGAGCTCCCTGAATACTCGCAATGCCTAGAATGGCAACCTCGGAGCTGGTGTCAAAGCCAAGACCAAACATCAAGCCCAGGGGAAACATTTTCCAAGGCCGGTCAACGATTCGAAAGACTTTACGGAACACAGTGGCCATGAAACCCGCTCCTTCAAGTCGCAAAGCCGTAGCTGCTCCCTGGCCGCCATCAGCCTCTCCGTCATCGTCTGGGTCGCTGCCCCGCTCTTCTTGCTCGCGCAAAGCCTCCTTGAGCCTCTTTACCAACTTGTAGAGTACCCAACCATTGCCAATGCACAGAATAATAAGAAATGCGGCTGATACACTCGTGCCAATGATGTTTCCAACACGCTGGAAGTTATCAAAGCGGTCCCGCAACGCGCCAGATGTGGCAGCCACCACGATGCAGGTGATGATAACAATGGTCGAGTGGCCCAGGCTGAAGAATGTTCCGACTGAGACGGGACGCTGACCTGATGCGATCAGGCGCCTGGTCATCAAGTCAATAGCACTGATATGATCCGCATCCAGCGCATGTCGAAGGCCGAGTGTGTATGACAAGACAGCGGGCGTGATGAGGGCTGGATAGAAGTGTAGCACGACACCTGCAATGGCCCAGACCACGAGATTCACGACAATGAGCAGTGCGATGATCTGAATGGTCGGGGCCGGAACGCCTTGTAAGAACTTCGGTAGCGGCACACGGGGGAAAGGGATGCGGGGCATCGTGAACGAGTGATTGTGTGAGAGAGGAGAGATAAGCAGATTGCGACGCCCCGCGTTGTGAGTTGAGATGACTTGAGAGGAAAGTGAAGAGACAGCCACCCCAACTCGAAACAGACGGCTCTTCACTTTTCCCTCACGATCCCACAATTCAATGCAATATTGAAGTGGAAAGAAATGAGCTGCGAACGTGGTGTCTTTAGATAGACGCGATGAAAAATCTATGGGCTTGGCCTATTGGGTAGCACCCCACATGGTGCAGCATCAACGTGCAGCCGGCGATTTGCAGTGGACGAATTACCCCCTCTCCCACCACTCGATAAGCTTATCGTGACTAATTCTGGTGAAAACGAGCCTCGCACTTCAGTTTAGCAACAGGTGGTCTCCGTCGGATACAGCCGAAGAGGAGGCTTCAAGATCTAGTCCAGATGGAGCCATCAGAATCAGATGGGTATGCAAAGCACTTTATCCCGCTCGAGTCGGATCCGGACATCTTCAACGAGTTGCTGTTGCATCTTGGAGTCTCGCCGAAGCTCACCTTCCAAGAAATCATTACACTCGACGAGCCTGAATTGCTGCCTCGTCCCGCTGTTGCCGTCATCGTGCTCTTCTCAGCAGGAGACAGCTATGACCCAACGGTCAATCATCCTTGCACTACGAGTCCGCCGCCGCACGGGCAGGGTGGACAAACGGTGCCTGGCGATATAATCTGGTTCAAACAGACCATCCACAACGCATGTGGCTTCTACGCTTTGCTCCATGCAGTCGCGAACTGTCATGTAGAGAATGCTTTTGGTGGGTGTAACAGTACTCGATCTCCAACCGGCTAAATGCCAACTAACCTAGCAACCGACAGAGCCCGGGTCCACTATAAGCCATCTTGTGGGCGATTCTAGCCGCCTACCGCCGCTTAATCGATCCGGTGTCCTGGAGAAGTCGAACTCCCTCGAGGAGGCATACAATAAGGTGGCACAAAAGGGACAGACCTCGGCGCCTGAAGACCCGGAAGACGAAGTGGAGTTTCACTACATCTGCGTCGCAAGATCCCGGGTGGACGGGCAACTGTACGCCCTCGATGGAGATTTGGACGGTCCCGTCGCTTCAGGCTTGCAGCTTGCTCCAGGCGAGGACATGCTGAGCGAGCGCTGCGTGGCCTACTTCAAAGAACTGATCGGTGGAGTGATTGCCAAGCAGGGTGACAGCGTCAACTTCAACCTCATGGCTTTAGTGGAGGGCTCAGTTTGAAGGTCTTCGTTGACTGGGCCCAATGTGCCGAGTGCAAGTCTTTGCCGTCGCTAGATTGTGCCGGCGGCGTGCTTGAGGTCCAGCTTGGGCGAAGGCCCGCCGGCCGCTTGGACAGTAGATGGGATCCACCACCGGGCATTCGGTATTACCTAAGTTGATCACGCGAATAGAAACATAGACTTCAACATTGAAGTAATGATCGAAGTTGCACAGTATCGTCGATGATTTTTCAACCACCAAACAACCTGATCAAGTAGAAAATTGCCCAATGTTGTAGGGCGTATGTGTGGCCATTCTTTCACAAAGTCGCAGCTGAGATGCTGTTTGTGCCAACAGACCAAGTTATTCAAATCAAACACCTCAATCCAAGATATCTTCCACTGGTTCTTCTTTTTAACATTGATTGATGTCTATTTCTAATCCAATCTCCAAGGGGAAGCTTCACCGGACCTGATGTGAATTCATTGATGTGTCTAGATCCAGATCAGTGTAAAGACAACTGCTGCGAGCATTCGTGTTGTCTCTAACAGAAAATTTTTCTGATCTTTTTACGAGAGAAACTAGCCGTATATAATGTTTGTATAGCGACAAGAAGTTAGGTCGAACGTCCCCAAGTACGTGTGTGTAACCAAACAGGATGCCGCCTTGGATCATAGTGACATGCCAATCAAAGGCTCAAACTCTCCTTTCATGAGCCGATGATACACAAAAGCACATACATCTGCGCCGACAACAGTCATGCCCAACAGGTTGGGCTCCATCACCTTGCCTATTTATTGACCTTTCATACCGTCTCATGGCGTAAAATTTCTCCGTGCAAACAACAACTTGCATCTAGTGATCAACAATTCAACTGTGAACCTCAGATAGTTGGACAATACACCCTCCAGGTAAGTATGACATGTGAGGGATTATGAAACGACGATTAACTGACTTTGCCCTGGAAAGTCTAATTCACGATGAATCCACCAAACATTCAGGTAAATGGCTTTGATCTAGTCCCTGTGGAGTTCCGAAGCTGAAAATCAGGGAAGACGAAAGATGGCCGCCGAAGGGAACAACCAGAGGGGTTTCGAGGTGAACATGAGCTATAGCTTCACACAGCCAAAACATCGGTTCACTGCATAGTGGGATGAAGTCTGTGGTCTTGGTATACACTAGGGGTCTGGCTGTTCTCCTAGTATCCTCGAGTGATGCTTGTTCTATACCATCGTAATTTCACTCACAAAATTTCATCTTCAACTTGAGCTTCTTCTTTTCAAGTGAGGAAGGCACGCTGGCCATTTCGCATCCAAATCCGTCATCCAAAGACGCTTGTGAGCACTCCGCCATACTCTACATATGATGAATTCATCTTCTCGATATCGTAATCATTCCAATACCCCCCTCCAGCAACAGCGTATTGCGTATACCAGCCTGAAAATTTCGTTTGTGCTTGTGCAGGCGTGGTTCCCTGGGATGGTTTTGCGTCGTTGGTGACCCAGACTATTGGCGAAATCTTCATCCCCAGCGTATCTTGCCACGTCTCAGGGTTATTACCCGCCCCTCCGTCATAGACTTGCAGGTACACGCGATCAAGAAGGTCAGGTACTTCGGAATTGATCTGGGTCTTGATCGTATTCCAGAAGTTGATTGATGTGTACGGCGCTATGGTATATTTGTACCCAATCGTGCCGAGCATAGTAGCAAAGCTGACAGTGCTAGATACATCGTAGACGGACTCATCATCGTTGTTAAGTGCATCAAGATCCCAGGCATTCCTGAGCGCTTCGAAGCTTTGATACAGTACTGTATCTGAGCCAGTTCCGCTCTCACTGATCATTGCGCGAATGTTCTGAAAGGTCGTATCCTGCGATACGAGGGACACCTCTACACGGTCAATTCTTGTCACGCCCGTCTTGAAGGACTTGATCTTGTCAGCGAGCGCAGCCCCTCCGATATATGAGCCATTGGTCACGACGGGAGCGTCGACAGCCTCCCCTGCGCCACCTGTGGAGTAGTAGACCAGGTCGCCATTCTCTAGCACGCCGATCCGGAAGATGAGCAGCGTATTAAAGCCAGACGTTGTCAGGCCTGTTGTGTTGGACTGGAGCACATCTTTGAACAGAAAGATGCTCTTCTCACTTTCAGCAATTGTTGCCCATGGTAAATGGCAAATAAATAGTGTGAGAAGAATGGCGCGAATTATGACATGTGATCCCATTGTTTGAGAGTAATGATGTTCAATGTTAAGCCCATGAGCCCGGGAATAAAAACAACAAGACTATGTTGAATGGGGTGGCTTGATGTAAACATGATGAGTTCCGCACCTATGTGCTTTAGTACGAAGTCTTCCCCGAGAATGTGCTACAATGTTTCTACTACACCAATACCACCTTCTCCATATGTCTAGCGTGCTAAACTCCAATGCCTGCTTTCTCCACTTGCGCATATCGGGAGTCATCTCCGACTAGCAATGCAGAAATGGGAAGGCACTGGGTCGTGATTATCTGGTAATGCTGATGATTGCCGAATAACCCCGCTGCCTGATCCACAAACGGTACATGATGTGGGGAGGTTTCATGATGTACAAGGCATTGGATAACAGCTTTGATAAACATGAGGCACACGTGAATATAGGCGTATCATAAGAGTGAAAATATCATATATTCTTAGATATTATTTGACACCCCGCCCTTTGTAGTGGTGCTTGCTTTTGCCTCAGGAAGACTTCGTACGATATTGGGCAGGGGTTTCAAATCAGGATTGACAAAGCTTATACGGGCAGGAATGCTCTCCCATAGGTCCGTCGAGTAGTAGCCATGCCAAGCCGTCTCTGTGAAGGCGAAAGTCTTCCTAAATTGCGAAAAGTCAATATTTGAGATATCCGCCCCATTGTCATAGACGGAACGTAGAGCTGCATGAGCTATTTGAATCCAGAAATAGGCTTGAGTTTCCGAATACGGAGGAATGCTCGGGTTCTGTGTTCTGCGTTGGATTGTCAATGTTTGAAGTGATTCAAGGGCTTCTTTGACGATAATTCCTCGCCGTTTGCTTGACTGGAGTATATTTCGAGCGACGTCGAAACCAAACTTGAGAAGGCGTATCGACTCCTTCCGAACGGCCACCCGGTCTTCCACCTTGAAAGATCCTTTCTCTAATTGTAAAACTGCTGGGAAAGGTCTCAGGGTGGGAGGACACCAGGCATGCTTTGCCTCAGGGCTAAACATCAATTCCTTAGAGTAGAATTGCTTCCAGAGTTGAGAATCCAGGAGTGATGGGCTCTGCAAGAGTATATCGCTGAAGTTCTCCCGTTGTGGTAGATCCTGCATGTGATTGGCTGCCTGATATGTTTTGGTGCAGTACCACAGCTGTACTATCCAGAACACCGTCATGGTTTGATGAGTAGTGTTTCGAAAGCGTTGAGGATTGTTGGCCCGCAACCGCTCCAAATGCTCAATGAAGATATTAGAGCATGCAACAACCCCTCTCCCGAAAGTAAGGGTTTCTAGCAAGACGAAATATCCAGCTCTAAGATGATTGTAATGATCCCACGTTTCCAGTTGTCCGCTTTCAAATGCCACCCAAAAGGTGTCGGCGTCTTCCGCGATGCTATTTGATTTCTGAACTCGACTCAACAAGTCCTGTTGATACATGTCTATTCCTGCATCCGGGCTTGCTTTAATTGCTTCTATCTCCGATGACACGTCTGATATGGATTCTGCTGACTCGACAGTCAGTCTCTTTTGAACAATGTCTAACACTTCTTTGAGCTGGGTGCCAGTTTTGCTGCTCAACCCTGGAAGGTCTACAACAGTTGCTGCCACAACATCACTATGAAGCGTAATCAAAGTTTGAAAACGCTGCCGTATCTCTGCCGTGACCTGATGCCTTTTAGCTGGAGAAAGGAGGTCTTGTTTGTTGAGTAAGATCCAAAGGTAACGAGAATCGGCATCTCTCATCATTTGTATGTTAGATTGCAGCTCGATTAGGGCTTCTTCTAGGCGTTCATTGTCGCTACAGTCATAGACAAATAGGATGAAGCTGTTCTTTTTGATATACTGGCCGACTAGCCGTCTCATCTGGTCGCAACCTGAACGATGCTAATCAGTCTCATCACATCCTACCCTGAACGACGGTGCTGATTCTCTTACCTCCGATGTCCCACAATTCAAATGTAGCTTTAGCATGTTCAATGGTCTCGACATTAAATCCTATAGTAGGTATTGCCTGAACATCATGGCCAAGTTTCAGATGATATAACAGTGTTGTTTTCCCGCTATTGTCGAGCCCAAGAAGGATTCCGGTATACGCATCTTTGTGCCTGCCGGATAGCCAGTGATTGAGCACTAGCGAAGGGTCAATTTAGTAGGGATGTATCAATGACGGACAGTGGCTTACGCATATTATTCTCGATGACGAAGTAAACAAGCCGAGTATGATTGCAAAGAACTCGACAGCTTGGCAATGTTGAAGTGATTGGAGAGTATTCTGCTTTTCCAATCAAGTACCGAGGAATAGTGGGTTGCCCCGAAACACCAAACTGGCGCCTCTTATGATATTGCCGCCTCCGTCATGACTCGTGGACGCTACGCGGCCTAGCCCAAAAAGGTGACAATAAACGCTCCACGCACATATCTAAAGGCATGCTTTGATCCCTTTGAGCCTTTTCATCCGTCATTTTTATCGTATTTCATCTAATTTGTCATGTCACTGTGAAAATTCTCGGTTTAGTCCCGGTGCTGGTTAGCTAAGGGAGCTAGCTAATTATCGAGCATATTTGTGTCTACCGTTAAAAAACAATTTCTCGAGTGCTTTGGTAATGATTTGAATATTTGAGTAGCATAGATATGCTACATCAATCCGCTAGACCGCCGCGTGAGAATTCTTGCTAGATCCAGACCGTATAATGGCACATGGTCATTCAGAATCAACACCCTCAGCGCTATCGGGTTGCCTGCGGAAGGTACACTACCAATTCAAACCTGGAGGTTCAACTCCGCCGACTCAATCTATGATGAAGTCTTCGGTCCCGATGATCTCGCATATTATGTTCACACGTACTCAGGAGATTCGGTGTTCTTCTACGTTGGACAAACGGATCCAGCTGTTGCCTACGCCTTCGAGTTTTCGTATTAAGTTCTGGGAACGAGGACATCGATGAAGCCAAGAAGTCATAATGAGAAATGGTAAAGAAGCCTAAATGTAATGCTAAGTCAAATGATATTCGTCTTCTCATCAAGCCATCCTTTAGCTCACAAGCTCTTTCCAAACTCCCCTTTCCTTACCATTGTTGAACAATTTAGTATCTGCAGATACAACCCTATTATGTTGCGAAATCTCTAGCCAGCAACGATAAGACCATTTCCACGTTACTAACCCAAGGAAGAGCCTTTTTAGGTTTACAGCCCTCTAATTCAATCTGCGGGGAGTATAAGATCCGAGCGCTACGGATCGGTCTCTCCATCCTTGACAAGCTCTACTGCGGGCCATAGGTCGTTGAGAAATCTCCAACGGCCTTGTTCTTTCCAGCCAGAAGCTTTCCACTGGTTCGCAGTGCGAGGAAAGTAATCCAGCACTGGAGCTAGGCTGGTGTCGTGCGCGCTAATCAACAGGATATTTGGGTCTGCGTCGAACGCCTGGAGCGCGCGAATCGTTGCTCGGGCTGCTTCAATGTCCACTGCAACAGTCTCACCCGTGTGTTTCTGGGAGATCGTGAAGAATGGAGTCGTCTTGGATTCGGAATGATGTTCTGTCATATGATGGGCATACTGCGTGGGGATATGTGGCTTGCGAGTCTTGTCCGAGGGGTGGATTTGTGCGAAGACATGGCCAGGGCACTCTCCCGATTCCATCTTCTGAATCGCATTCCCCGTACGCTGAGGGATGGGAATGGTGTCCGGGAGCGGGAAGAACTTGTGGGGCCGGAGCTGGGAGGCGTGGTGGTAAGAATCGGCGCCCATAAGGATAAATGTCGAAGTCTCGGAGTTGAGACTAGTAGGATCAGTCGTACGAGCCAAGGCATTGATATGCCCAATGGCATGGCCAGGTGCGGAGAAGAAGTAGAGGCTTCCGTCTCCGAAGAAATCAATTGCTGGCAGCCCGCCAATTTCCAGATCAGGGGTACTGAAGTCGAGTTCTATCAAGGCACGACCAGCGAACTCTCGTGACAGGATCGGTGATGCCGTGTTATCGGGGTATCCAGGGTAGAACGCATGCTTGACCCCCGGACCCACAATGAGATTGGTAGTTGATGGAAATAGACTCGGCCGCCCAACATGGTCCCAATGCGGGTGGCTTTTCGGACAGGACTTTGGTCAGCATCAATCTCAAAGGCTTGAGTAATACTTGGCGTAGTCTAGTCTCTGAATGTACGGAAGAAGCAACTACTCACCTCCAGACGATGGCATCAATGCTGCTCAACGGGACCCCATCGGCCTCGAGGATCTCAGATACATTCTTCTCTATTTTGATTGTGGCCCCCCAGCCAGTGATACGCTCGACCAGCGCAGGAGCTAGATCGTTTTTCCAGTCTTTTGGCGGACCTAAGTCAAACAGGACTCTGGTTTTCTTTCTGGTTTGTTGGTGGGTATGAGTGATCAGGAAAGAATAAGCAACGGCGCGAAAATTATCGAAGCCCTTGATTTCAGGCCCAAAGAAGACAGAAGGAGACAGATCAGAAAGGCAGAAGGTAGTATCAATGATACACACCTCCACTGTCGACCCGGATTCCGGTATGGTGTATGTGAGAGATGGAGATTTCATCGCAGCATGCGACAGCAATAAAAGATTGTTCCGAATTTCTTAGGGATGTGTGGTTCTGTGCTGTCGGTAATACTCTCGTTGGCCACTGAGCGCTTTGGAGCTCTTTTGCACTCGATTCTGTATGATGAGACTAGGCAGCCTGTCAGCGGGAAAACAAGTATGGGCCTTTCTTAATAACAAATTCGATATCTGGCACGGATCACGAGAATTAGAAGCATGGCAAAGAACGATGCTCAAAGAAAAGAAAGTGGGGCCGATTGATTTACGTCAAGGTTAATGGGTTTGGGTCGGATGAGCCGGGTTCCACTACCGGTTAACCCGACAGGCCCGGTAAGCGATCCCCCAGCGCGGCAAAGAAGATTACCATTGCGATATTCGTATATAAGATCAGGCTACTAGATCACTTCATATGATAGTTCATTGTTTCAGTATCCAAGTCGATTGAACACGACTTCACATGAATAATATGGGGTCTATTCCATTGCCCGAACAGATGCACCCATATCAATCCCTTTCCATTGACGAGAGGGTCAAACGGGTGCTCCTTAACACGCCCCTGTTCGATGGTCACAATGACCTTCCACAGCAGCCTCGCTGTGTCACGCATGGCAAGATCTATGATCAACCACGCTTCGATCTCGAGAAAGGTTTCGAGAGGGGAATGACAGACATACCTAGGTTGCGACAAGGTAAGAAGCTGAGCGTGTGCACTGCAAGTAAGGCTTTTGTGCTGATTTTGAGGTGGTGCTCAGGGGCTGTGGGTGCACAATTTTGGTCCATCTGTGTCCCTTGTCTTAGTTCGGCTGAGGACTTTTCGACTCCAGAATACAGCGACATGGCGCGGGATGCAATTGAACAGTTGGATTTGACTACACGACTCATCGAACTATATCCGCACGTTTTTGAACTTGTTAGAGAACCGCAGGATGTGAAGCGGGTATACGACGAAGGCCGGATTGCGTGCTCGATCGGCATCGAAGGTCTTCACATGGCCGGCAATTCCATCGGGATAATTCGAGCATTCTACAAACTCGGCGCCCGATATTGCACCCTCACTCACAATGTCAACAATTGTTTCGCGGATTCCTCCCAGTCCGTTTCTGGCCCAGTTCACGGTGGTTTGTCTTCCTTGGGACGTTCCTGTATCAAGGAGATGAACCGGTTGGGTATGATCATCGACCTTTCCCATGTTACAATGGAGTGTGCCGAGCAGGCTCTCAATCTAACCCGTGCTCCTGTCATGTTCTCGCACAGTAATGCCTACTCGGTCTTCAACCATCCTCGTAATGTATCCGACAAAATCCTCGATAGGATCCCGCAGAATGGCGGCATCATCATGGTGACCTTTGTCCCAGAGCATGTTGCTGCAAAGCGTCGCGATGCAACCATGAATCATGTTCTCGATCACCTCTTTTATATCGCCGATCGTATCGGCTGGGATCATGTCGGTCTCGGATCCGATTTTGATGGGATTGCTTCTCGCATCCCAGGTCTAGATGATGTTCGCTGCTATCCTATCCTGCTCAAGGCGATTTTAGACCGTGGAGCAAATGAGAGCCAGCTTGCTAAGGTAGCGGGGGAAAATATGCTTCGAGTGTGGCGTGATGTGGTCAAGGTGCGAGAGCAGATGAGGAAAGAGGGTGTATTGCCCGTCGAAGATGTCTGGGAGGGAAGGCAATGGTGGCGTTTCGACGGCAAGTACCAAATGGCCGATCCAGACCCGGAAGATAAGATGGGATACGATGTTAGTGTCTATTGCGCCCTTACCCTAACAGACATTCATACTGATGTTGCACAGTTCTTTGGCGTTCCGAAGCCTGACGATGCTTAGCGAAGCGAGCTGATTTGAAGAACAAGTGGACTTCTGAAGGGCAGACTGCTGGAAGAAACGGCTAGACCGCGTTGCCTCATGGCATGGGCTCCTGCCCGTCGATCATTGTCATGTATTCGCTCCACCCGAACGGCACTTGTGCGGAACTATCGGTAGAAAACTCATCTAGGTCATCAAACAAAGATGAATTCATTGATGTCATTTGGGCTTGTAGGCTCATATGGCTCCATAGGTTGCGGATGTGAAGCTGTGACTGCAGCCGTCGCAATGCTGATGGTTCCGATATAGTGAACATTATGTGACGGATCTTTTCAAAGAGCCGTGGAGAAACATTACTAGGCTCTGGTAATCCGATAGATTCACCCATTGGTCCAGTTATTGAAGATGGGTGTGGCCCGCCAGTATGGTCAAGGGCAAGCGGACTCGATCCGGCCCTTTGCGTGCCGTAGGCCACTGCATAGAGAGCATCAATGAGCTCGATTATCTCAATCCATGATGATGCAACTGGCCACGAGTTTTGCCATGATCGCAGTATTTCAATGAGGGATGAGACTTTCTGACCCCCAGTGATGCTCGCTGCCTCTGCTACCTGAAGCTTTGAGTGAAGGCTCCAGAGGTGAACGCAAGCTGAGCTCAATATCGCAGCGCCCGAGAACGGCGATCGAAGTGAATCTTGATCTTTGACATCACCGTCATATAATGCAGAGGCTATCTCTGTGACGACGTCCGCATGATGGCAACATGTGGCCACAATATCCTGTCTCCACGTAGCTCCTGGTGAATTTGGAGGGAAAAAGTTGTGAGCTTGAGGCAAATGAGCCTGTTGGAGAGTACACAGTGCATGATTGAGAAGCATATGCATAGACACAAAGAGGTTTCCTTCCCCAAGCAGGCAAAATGTGCGATAATTTCTCATCGACCATGTCATCCTTGGAGGGAGTTTGCCTATCCACTCCAGGACGGTGTTGTGCGCCATTAAGAATTCTTCCTCGTTCTCAACGAGTCCCTCAGGGGATGAGTTCCCAACTGTTCCAAACAAATCGATAAAAACACTCCACAGATCAACCGCCTTGAGGAAGAACGGTAAAACCTCCGCATGTTCAAAAACAGAACATTGAAAGTTTGCGAGACCCGGCCCACGAAAATCTTCGTCAAAAAGAAAATTCCTGGCAGGGCAAGGCAACTGGATGGAAATATGCCTGGTTCTGAACACTTGTGGACGAGCGGTCAAAAAGCAGAGCATGCGATCCATGATGAAGCAGGTCCAAAGTGCCCTTCTCCTAACCTCTTGCTCTCTCGGAGGGTGATTCCGGAAATATTCTTTCCCAAGCCGCATCTCCTGAGCCATGCGGATAGCCAAACCTGTATACATCCAGGCTCGGGTAATGTTTCGGCTGTATAATTCGCGAAGTCCAAGAATGACGTTGGCCTGTACAGATGCTACGCTTGGCTGATCAGACAGTTCTCTAGAGTATCCATGTGCAGTCTTAGCCAGTCTCTGTGAAAGTTGAGGTGCGCTTTCTCCATTGAAGACATTCAAGGTATCAGTCTCGGAAATGTTGAGGGCAGCCAACGAACAAATCGCGAAGAGCGAAAATGGAGGGTGTGATGTTAAATCGGTTGCCTCGAAGCTTGGTTGATGTATGCTTTGCCGTATAAAGGCTAGATGAGGAGTACTAAAGAAAATGTTGAAGAGAAGCTCCGCATGATCTCCTGGTATACCGGCTGCGACTGGCGACGTGTCAGACGACTCAGTCACCTCGTCCTGGCCTGCTTCAAGGGCCCTCTCTAGGACGGGCCATGTACATCTATCACGGACCCGTAGGCAATGCCTGCAGCACGGTTTCGCACCGTTGCACTTGACTTTTCGTCGTCGGCTAGGCGCGGCGATAGCAGCAATCAGTTTCCGAAAGGGAGGGCGCCGAGCGCAGTAAGGAAGAGGGATTGCGGCTCACCATGGGATGCAGGCTATGATAGTCCTCTGGCGTGGCACGACGTCACTCCCCACCATCTCTACGATCTATGAGCGCCGAAGAAGAAACTGTCGTGGATTACGGCGCGAGCAATCTGGCAAATCGTTTGTGTAGAAAGGCGACGGGTAGGTATGGAAGCCAATTGGAGAGAAAATGGTGAGGCGAAATCTGAGTACCATAAGCCCGCCTCAGTTTTTGGTGGGGTCCAACAGGTATTTGAAAAGCGTCAGGCTCCACATCAGCTACCTAAGTCGTACTCACGCCCTTTAGCTGACTACAACTTAATACCGAGGGATCCTGTAGATTGATCAACTTGGCTAATGTAGCGAATCAAAGAAAGTATGAATTGTATAAGTAGTCATATTATTCAAAGCCTTTCTCAGGTACAAAATATTTTTTCCATTGTCTTCGGTACAAAACAAATAAACATCGCTGTGTCTCACCAGATCTCGCAGCTGTTTTGGACGCGATTCTCATCTGAATAGAATGATAAAAGTTCACAGTGATTCCAACGATATCATTTATGACCTCGCATATTAGGATGACAATAAGTTCTTGATGCCAGCGCTGCATAGGGTCTCAAGGTTTGAATCGGAATCTGGGGTCTGCAAAACCCGTGATATTAGGTGTAATTCCATTATCCCCCTCTTCAGTATCTTGTTCATTGTCTGCCTTGAGGTCTCGTTTTTTGTTCTCCAATCTCATCCACAAAGAATAAGACCCAACCAGAGCCATGCAGATCCCAGCACAAACGCAATTGGTCTTGAGTGCCGAGATGTATCGAGGAGCCTCGTCCGTGATAAAGATGTTGCTGGCGAGAAAACCGGAAGAATTGGCTAAGGAAGAATGAGCGTGAGGTGATCTGGTAGAACCATTAATAACTTACTAAGAGATAGCAAGACTCCCATGGTTGCAGCTCTGGCATTGAGGTTGTTCATGTTAGAGAGCATCCATGCAGAGTAGAGGACAGAGATTGGGTAGGCCTGCTCTCTTTTGTTAGACATTGGCAAAAAGATGGAGATTTCAGGTACGAACTCCGATGGTGCAGAGGAAGATGGCGAAGTAAGCCACGCCCATTTGAGTTGTCACATTGACGGTCATGAGAAGAATATATCCTACAAGGCTCGTACTGAGAGCGCCGACCATGTGAAAGCCACGTTCTTGAAAATAGTCCGAAGAGAAGCTAACCATTAAAAGTGTGCAAGCAGAAGTTATAGCAGGAGCCACAGTGTACTGTGCAAAGTTAGATCACGGAATGTTAATAACCTTTCAGGGGATCACTGCGTACCAGGTTAGTTTTTACAACACCAAACCCCAGCCTCTTCGTCATGATGGCCAGAAAATTGGCATTGGAGTTCAACAAGACTCCATAGGTAAATCCAATGACAGCACGCAAGGGAAAGTGCCAAGATTTGAACTCGCTTAAGGCCTCAGCCCAATTGATCTTGGCAGTGGTGTTGTTCATCGAGTCCATTAGCTGATGCATGGTCCCTGCTTGTTTCTCTTCCTCAGTCAAGAAGTAGGCTGTTTGGATACTGCGAGGGAGGACGAAGAAGGCGATAACTGCAGTTACCAGAGTAATCCCGCCCTCAAGTAAGAACAAATACGACCAGGTGTATAGCGTCTTGCCCCCCGGTAGTTGAAAGACACCATAGGCAAGAAGACCTCCAAATGCAGAGGCTGTAATGCTAGAAGCGTAGAAAATGCCAATACGGAAAGCTATTTGCCTGCGTGTGTAAAAGGTCGAGAAGTATACTACTGAACTAGATGGCCCTCATCAGCCTCAGCCCATCTAACAAAGGTTGATGGGCGACAAACCTTGCAACAAACCCAGACTCAAATGCACCAACGAAAAATCGACAAGCAACGAGACCGGGGAAACTTTTAACAGCTGCTGTGCATATTGATGCTGTGCCGAAGCCTAAGAGCATTAGGGGTATTCCATATTTACCCGAGAACTTTTTAGAAATCAAGGTGCCGACGGGTCCAAAAAGAAGCATGGCAATATAGTAGACGGTCAAGCAGAGGTTGTATTGGTTTCCATGAAGGCCAAGATCCTTCGATAGCCCCGCTGTTTCTGCATTTCCCAGATTGGACCGGTCAAGAGAGCTATGGGTCCGTTAGGGCTATTCACACTTTGAGGTGGTAGAGCATACTCGAGTAAATAGGAAAAGGACACCATTGGGATGATGATCAGATCGCATTTCAAAGTGTACCTCTTCAAAGCTGCTGAATTGATATGAGGCTGAGCAATGCCTTGCTCAACAGAGAGTACCCGGGTAGCCTCACCCAGCGTATCGGGCTTATGCACTGCTTCAACAGGGACCATAGTGTCGCAGAGAGATGATGATGTTAACAATTGTAGTATTCTGCTTCTCACACTTATGAACTCCCTAGCCAACTGAAGTCGCCCCCAGGCACAAGGCCATTGTTATATATCATGCCGCCAATGACATCGCAAACTCCATTTGTATAATAAAAATTGGGCACAGGGGATGAGCCGGACTGATACGTGCAGATCGCACGGAGCCAGTGCGGAAGATGCAGGGCAGGATGGAAACCTGCTAAGTAGTGTTATCAGAATTGAGCCGTGGACTACTTACGCGGTATCGATTTCTATCCCTTTTCTCGCTGCAAAAAGCTCAAGTCTGTTAGTGCTCCGTGAAGTCTAGTAAAAGTACCCTGAAATTTCCACAGCAGGTAATAGTAATGTGGGGACATATTAGCTCCACAGAGCTACAGTAAGGGGTCCCTCCGGCTCATCCGTACCTCATCCACGGGTAGATAAAGGATGATGCGAACATGATCCGATTTGCGTTTACGGGAACATTTTTAGGCTTTTAGGGTAGTAGATTACACGGAGCATGAAGATTCGATTTGTTACAATAGGTTGCCCCCTTTCTTTACGGCCACTATGCCTGTGAGCTTATCATCGACACGGTATAACTCACTGTAGACGTGGCTTACTATAATCAGAACACCCAAGCCATATGGTTGACTAGGTTCTGCTCCCGATAATGTACAAGC